TCCTGGGTCCTGTCATCGAGCTTCTCAACGCCCCCCTCCAGATCTCCTGGTTATCTGGCTTAGTATATAAATGGAACAGGTGTGTTGCCCTAACAGTGACTTGCGTATATCATTTTTTTTTTGTAAATTTTTTTATTTCATTTCCACTTAAACATTTATACATTTCATCTACACATCTTGCATAAATATCAGAGTCATTCATCGCTTGATTCTTATATACCTTTTTGGGACACTAATTTCTTGACAATTCATCTATCCAATTATATACCTTTTCCCATCTCTTTTCATGTACCTTTTTGTTCCTATTCTGCAACATTAAACTTAAGTCATCCATTCTTGCTAACTCCAGTATCTTAGCTACTAATTCTTCCTTCTTGGGTATAACTTCCGATTTCCAATTTTTGGCCAATAACAGTCTGGCAGCTGTTATTATATATCCTAATATATATGATTCTTGCTTATTATAACCTTTCGGGATCATGTTTAACAAATATATTTCGGGTTTTAAAGCTACATTTTTCTCCAGTATTTCTTGGATTGCCTTCCGGACCATCTTCCAATATCCTTGTATCTTACTACACACCCACCACATATGATAAAATGTCCCCTTATTCATTTTACATTTCCAACATAAATTAGGAAACCCGGTATAACACTTAGCTAGTTTGTCCGGAGACCAGTGCCATCTATGGAACATCTTGTACACATTCTCCTTATACGTTACCGCTTTCATATATTTGACCGTTTTCCACAAAATGGAAGTGTATGGTGAGATTTTTTAAAAAATAAAAGATCTTCCCATCTTGGTGTGAGTATCATGGAACACTCTAAAGTAGAGGAAATTATAGACCTATTGACAGGGCTAGTGGGTGACAAGGCTTTTGGTGGCAAAGACGTTTCCATGGAGTTAATTCCATCTAGAATATCTCCAACAGTAAAGCCCCCATTTTTGCAGACATTGAATCTGAACTGCCCCAAGCTTGGCCTTGATCCTCAACGAGCCTTAAGGGATTCAAGGGCCCCGGGCACACAGGCTGGATATCGTGGGGGAGGCGTGGCTAATTGCCCCGGCGCAGTTTGATCTGCGATAACGCGATCAGATGCGCGGGTGGCACAGCATGGGTCCTTCCCTCGGTGCCAGTGGGTAAACGAGGGACCAGAGGGGAATACCGCGCACTGGCGCTATCACACCACGGGTGTCTGGAGGCAGCCTGTGGCAAATGTTTACTAGTACCTTGGAGGTACTAGTTTTTAAATGTGCATTGTCGACGATAAGCCACGGGTGCGCTCCACTTCCCAGATGTTGGGGTGTGACCGCGCCCGGATAATCCGCCCACCTTCCCTGCCTCTCCCGCGGCAACTTTGCCGTGTGACCGGGGCCAGTTTGGTGTAGTGGTTAAGTGTGCGGATTCTAATCTGGGAGAACCGGGTTTGATTCCCCACTCCTCCACTTGCATCTGCTGATGTGACCTTGGGTCAGTCACACGCTCTGGCACAGCTGTCCTTGAAAAAGAGCAGTT